ACCATAAGTCAACCATGAGGGTTTTAGTGGTCTCTTGTTGTGTTGTTTTGGTGGTCCTATTGATGTTAAATAATGGAAAACATTTCTTTTTAACAAAATGAAAAATTTGCATTTCATATTTGTGGTGTGTCACACAAAAATGAATAAAAGTAAGTAGCAAGCAGTATATGTTTCCTGGGGCAACTAAACCTTCCAGATTTAATTAACAGTAATTTATTATAATTAACTGTCATCAATATTCATGCATGTATAGTTCTTGCACTCTTCCACCTATTCTCATATAAACTGATAGAATCACTGTTAATGTTTGACTTACCATTGGCACCATAAGTTTGTTGATAAATCCATCAGTTTCTTTGCATTACAGACGTTTTTTTAAATTATTATTATTATTATTATAATACTGTATGTCAGTATCTCCTCATTGTATAAGTCACTACTGTATTCCTGGTCTCTGGTTCATCTGTTGGTCCTCTGATGGACTTGTGATCGGTCCAGGGTGTCTCCCACCTCTCGCACAGTGACTGCTGGATATGGGCACGGAAGATGCAGGTAAAGATAATGGATGGTTCATTTGTCACACAAAAAAGGCACCAGATATTTTACATCAAATTGTAAGTTATGACATTATTGAAGGAACTATTTCATTAGAAATGCTCCCATTCTGTTTTATTTTGTATTGACTTTGCATTCCTGCTTTAGTTCAAAATAGCATAAGCAAAAAGAAAAAAAATCTTCTCTCCAGAGAGATTTGGTTTAGTTTGATCACACCAACATATGTAGGTGCAGATGTTTGCACAGGAAGATCAATTAATTATTAGGTTCCTCCACATGTCACTACCTCAGCTAAACAAAGTCCAGCCGATCTGAGCCAGAACAGATATATGAACTGTTTCCATGCATGTGTGTAGACGTGCGAGTGTGTGAAAGTGTCTGTGTTTGTGTGTCAGGACTGATTGCTCTTGACTTCATTAATCTCTGCAGAGTGGTTATGATTAGCTCTCTGAGGCATGCCAGAGGACATCTGA